CTTCTTTAATTTATTACAACAATGCATCAAAATTTCTTATATAATTAAAGAGGAAATTGTAGAAACAATATAAGGTTATCAAATAATTGGCGGTTTTTGGCAATTAAGAAAAATTAAAATTATCATTTAGCATAGTAGCAAGAATGAAATAATTTTATTTATAGGATGGAGAAATATTAAAAAAGTATTGATTTTATCAACAAATCTTAAGAGAGAAAAAGACTGACAAAATTGAAATAAACAAGAATATCGAAATGATCAAATATGCTAAATGGGATGGAGAACTGAACAATCAAAATATGAAATGTGGAAATTGGTAGGCTTTTTGGAAAGGTAAAAAGTTGGGTATTGGAGGATATTATGATTAATGTAATTTAAAAACAGGGAAATGGGTTGAGTTTTTCAATTAATATTGGGAGTAAATTACTCTTTCTATTTTATAAGTCGGTGTTAAGTTATTCTCATAGGAGAATACAAAAATGGAAAGAAATTCGGTATTTGGGAAACATAGTATCGACACCAACAAAGGGAATTATTTTAAATAATGTAATTTAAGCTATTTTACAAAAACTAATTTAAAGAGGTTTATGCACTTATGACAAAGATGGATTATAATAAGGAAGGTCATTTGAAGTGTCTGAACAATTTTGGGAGTATTAAATTATAGATTTTAAAGTCTTTGTTAAGTTTTTGAATTTGGAGTATATAGAGATGGTAAGAAGGTTGGGAGATGGGAAATTTAAAGCAAATAATCGATTATACTGTAATAATATTGTGAAATTTTAGGGGTGGAGGAAATTATAATTAAAAAGGTTTGAAAGATGGAAGATGGGTGGAGTTAGAATCAAATTTTTGGAAGTATTTTCAATTAAGAGTTATTAGATAAAATTAAGTAATTTAGATTGGAGACTATTAAAATGGAATTAAGATTGGTTTTTGGAAGATTTAGTTCAAAATGACTGAACTATTTGATTATCAAGATATGTATAAAAACTTCTTAAAATATAATAGAGGTGGAGGTTCATACTTAAATGATAAAAAGATAGGAAGATGGAAGGAAATACATGATAATTTTCATAAGTTAAATTTATTGATTTATATTTTAGTTAATGTTAAGTAATCTATGCTGGAGAATATTTTAATGGAGTAAAAATTGGATAATGGAATACATTGTATAAAGGAATCAGATAAGATGAATATATAAATATGTATTATATAATGATCACCATCTTAATAGAGGAGGAGGCCAATATTTTAATGGAAAAAAAATAAAATAATGGGTAGATCTACATACTAATTTCCAAAAGTATTGTAGCTTTATCCTATTTAAGTTAATGTTAGGTTTTTCAGACTGGTGTATATGAAGAGGGTTTAAAATAAGGATAGTGGAAAATCCTTTTTAGAATAAATAATTAAGAGAATCATTAAAATATGTAAATAATAAATCAAAATTAAAGAGGAACAGGATATTATGAAAATGGTTTGTAAATAGGAAAGTCTTGTGAGTTGCATTAAATATATTTTAAGTATGTATTTCAATATTATAACTACAATTCTAGTAATTATTAATTTGTTTGGACTGGTGAATATACAAAAGGAAATAAGAATGGTTGGTGGGATATAATTTGGAGAAACAAATCTAATGATAATTAAGAAAAGATTATGTAATTTTCCTTTAATCACTATTCTTAGTGGGGGTGGTACTTATGTAAAAGGATTAAAAAATGGATTATGGACAGACTTGGTTGAAAACTTTTCTAGTTAGTCATGGCAGGAGAAAGTCCTAGTCGGTGAATATGTTAACGGGGAAAAACCAGGTGGTTTTAAAATTTAATAAATAATATGAAATCATTAACTCTTTGTAAGATGGTTTTTCAATATAATTGAATAATTTCTCATCGTATTCTCAAATTTTATATCTCTCATATCTATTTGTTATGTTTAAATCTATCATTATATAAATTAAAAAATATTATTTCATATAATACCCATGTTTTTTGCTAGATCTATCTTACATTAAAACAATTCATTTTCAGTTTAGAATATAAAACCATCCTCACATTTAATATTATTTATTTATCTACTTTTACTTAAGTTTTGAAACGAAATTAAATTTATCTAGGTCAAAATTTTGGATGTATTTCAAATTGATTTAGGAGTTTCTTAATTCTTGAACTGATAATACCTATTCAATTTTTTATTTTATAATATTGAAAAAAAAAATTATTTTTCTTAAACATATATTTTGAAAATTTACTTTCTTTTCCCAATGAATACTTTCAACTCCTACTAGTTTATTAAAGTTATCTATAAATATATAAGAGAGATTGTGAATTAATTTTAATTTAATGTTTTATTGCCAATATTTTAACTTAAGAATATTAATATATACATTAAGTTATATTTAACGAAAATTTATTTCATAAAAAAAGAGAGGTACTTGCAGGTTATTTTTTATTTACTTTTTATTGAATCCATTTTTAAATTAGTCTTTTTAATTTAGTATTGATTTGATATATATATTTTATTAATGGTGCCATTATCCCAAAAGATAGAAGTCCTATCTACCCAAATTCAATAAAAACTTGACATTTAAAGCCCAAGAAATTTGCATAAGATTGTTCATTTGCAATTTTAAGCAAAGTAAATAATGTAACTGGCACTTCAAACATAAAAATCAAAATTAAATCAATATTTTCAGAGAAAATTTAACCAAGGATAATAATTGTTATGTAGAAAGTATTTATCAATCAAGGTAAAACTGACTATGTAAGTCAATTTTTTTGGAATCCAACTCAAACTAAAAGAAAAAAAACCTTTTTCGCAAATATCAACCCTTCATTAAGATGCATTTTTCTTTACTTTTTTCATGTTAGACTTCTTAATGAAAAAATAGAAAAGAGCAATACTAAAATACAAATTAAAAAAGAGCATGCATATATTGTAGAATTAATCTCTAAAATTCTTCTCCTTTTGAGATTTGAGATACAACCAAGTCTTGAAAATTAGATTCCAACTATTTGCTTAAATGATATACACAATCCCATTTAAAGATATTTGTGAATATATTCGAATACTTAATGAAAATTTTTCTATAATGCAGTTAATACAGTAGTTCATCGAATAATAAAGTAAGAATGTATAAATACTATTTTAATCATTATAAGTTTGATAAGATAATTTATTTGAAGTATCGAAATTTATAATATAAATAAGTTGGATTATTGATATCATGATATTATTAAATTTTCATTTAATTTGATATCCATTTAGATCATATTCTTTTTCAGCTCTAAATACTGTTAATCAAACGCATTACAATTTTGCTTAATCTTTCACTATAATCCATTTTCCAATTTTATTGCCATCTTCGTATTTCCCTAATTCCAAACGTTATCTACCACTAATTAACTATTAATTTCAATTTATAATCTTAAAAAGAACTTTCCAATTCTATCCAATCACCCTATTTAGTATCAAATTCTAAATATTCACCACTTCCACTAAATTACATGAATTTATTACATAATGTTATCTTTGAAAATCAAATCCCATTTTCCAATTCTATTTCCATGATTGTACTTCCCTGCAAAAGTAACTTATCGAACACTACATAAATTATATTAATATTACTTAATGAAATTTTAGCATAAGTCAATCCAGAACCCAACTTTCAGACCATTATCATCATAAAAACCCCCACTACTTTTGGATAAATCAAAAAATCTACATAATTTATTTTTAAACACAGTTCCCATTTTCCAGTTTTACTACCATTATTATAATCTCCATTAAATATTATCTACTAGCTAATATTTAATATTTTTGTTACTATTGGATGTAGAACTCGTGTTATTCCATCCATTTTCCATGTTTCAATCCATTCTAGTTTAATTGCCTATTAATTATCCATTGATTATTACATCACATTTCTATTGTGAATTCTCTAATTTATGCCCATTTATTGACCAGATTAATACTATTCTATGTTGAAGATTTTGGTAAATCTTAAATTATTTAGATCCTTACTCTGAATAATCCATGTGTAAATCTATCCATTCGGAGTTTTTCAAACCATTTTCATCAATTTGCCCACTTCCACTAATATAGATTGTCTTAATACATTATATAGCCATTTTATTTTATTTCCCATTTTCCAACTTTAGTTTCATGTTGGTAATTTCCAGTTTAAATTGCTTTATTACTATAAAAAGGATGATATATAATGAGAACCTTTAGAAGTTAGAATGAAGTTCATCCCATACACCATTTTTCTCGTTCTTTTCATCATAAGTCCCGCCTCCTCTATTTTGAATTCAAGATCTCTTTTACCTTATACTATTATCATATTGAATCTCCCATCTTCCACTTTTTTTGCATTAATGTAATATCCTATGTATTTCACATCTGAGACTCTTCATTTATATAATCATCAATAATTACCCATCAGATCTTTCTCCTAACTCAATCCACTTTCCAGTTTTATGGTTATCAAGATCATAAAAACCTCCAGCACTTTTATAACTACATACTCTTTACATCATTTTCCCCATAATTGAGTTTCTAATTATCGTATTATTTGACCATTTTTATATTCTGTTACATTTAAAATTTACTTGAATCTAATTTTAGAATTATTTATAGATTTACTCAGAAAAATCTTCTTGCTTGTGCAACTCAATAAATCTTCCTTTTTTGTCACCATTTTCATTGAATGTGCCACTGCCACTAATAGTTAAATTTCTCATTTTATACATTGCTTTTTAATTTTATTTCAATTTCCAATTCCCAACTCTCTTTCCTTTAAAGTATTCCCCTTCAAATTTAACTATAATGCCCGATTATTATGTAAAACTTGGAATTTAATTCATTTTTTTTAGAATTTCAACCCATTTCCCAATTTTTAACCCATCAGCATCATAAAAACCACCTCCAACTCTAAAATTATTTCGATCAATAATAAAATACATTTTTTTTCATCTAAAACTATGAACCATTGTCCAACCCTTTTCCCATTTAAATATTCACCTTCTTACATAAAGCCAATTTCTCTAAAACCTAAAACATATTTGTATATACCTTGTTGAATCTTAGAGCAACTCTATTTACTTACCTTATATTAACCCATTTTAGTCATAGAATGTTTTACCACTAAAAAACTATAAAATTTCTTACACTACTTAATCATTTATTATGATCTATCATTTCCCTATTCTCCTTCCATTTTCGTATTCTCCCTTTTCGTAAAGTTTCTTATAACTGGATAAGCGAATATATAATACTATATGAATTTTTCACTCAAGTCATTCCAAGATCCTTATTTAAGGCCTTTAGCATTGCATTGTAGCATCCAATTGGACTATTTCATGTAAAATACATACAATTTTTAATAGTTTTAAATTGCATCCCATTAATTTATTTTTAGTCCTTTTTAATATTCTCCTCTTAACCATAGTTTGTTGTAACTAATTGAACGAAAATTACAAAATATGAAACATTGAAAAATTTGAATTTAATTCAACCCAATTTCCTGTTTTAAGTCCATACTCATCATACAACCCATTGCAATTAAATTAGATTAGATTTAATTACAGGATTTTGCCATCAAACAAAGTCAACCAATTTCCTCTTTCCATCCGCATACTCTCCAACAAAGAAAACACAAGCAAGGCTTACTTACTCACTATAATTTTCGTATAATTCTATCCATTTACCCTACTTTTAGCTATTCTAATCTTAGATGCCTCCTCCTACTCTTTCTCCCTTCCAAAAGACATTCCAATTACAATGGTTGTCACTTCCAACTGTATATTCCCATTTTAGATATTTTATTATTATATATTTCTAAAAATCCACTATCTTTTCGGATAATCTATTAATTTATCACTAATTGGATAAATCATTTACAATCTCTAAATAGCTTCATTAAAAATATATGCAATTTGTCCTTTGATATACAAGATAATAAATAAATCATCAGTACTGCAACATCGTCTAACAGAATATTAAGAAATTTTTTCTGAAAAAATAGTAAGATCATTATCCAATTCTAATCCAAATTCTTCTGTTTGTAGCCCCGCTTCCACTAGTTAGGAATAATTTTATTCCCTTTGAACTATCATTATATTTTTTTACAAATTTGATTTTTCAACAAATGCTTTTATTAATATCTCAGAGATTTTTTACTACTTCTCTTCTTACATTTCTGGAATATTGAGAATATTTATTACCTTAAGATTAATATAATAGGATTTATTCAGAACTTATGTGTTATTTATTAAATTTATAAAGATTATTATTTTATTATAATATAATTTTATATAATTAATATATCGAAGAATTTATCCATTCATATTATTTAGGTCTAATATTTTAAATTAAAGAAGAATTTAGGAATTGTTTTTAATTTCTACTATTCAATAGATGAAACTAAGAAGATAATATTTTTGCGAAAATTCGTATTATTCAATAAACTATTAGTCATAATTCAGTAGTAGTTTTTTGTGATTGAATTTACAAATTAATTTAATATTATTGTAATCAAATAAGAATAATGCAATCGTTTTTAATATTCATTTAATTTTTAATTAAAATCCTCATTCCATAAAATTTGAATTTTCAGCTAATTCTATTACCTATAAATATAAAGTTAGTATTGAATCAACTTAAAGCATATTATTTTTTAGTCATGGATAACCCAAAAGAGAAAACTCATAATATGCCATAGGAAGAGATGTTATTAGACATGATACCAGTCATTTAACAATTAGTAGAAGAATTTACAAGAAATACAAAAAATTAAGGATCTGTAGTTTTGTTTGTTGGATCAACAGGGTCTGGGAAAAGTACAACCTTCAATTTCCTAAGTGGAGCAGAATTTAAACTTGATCATAATGAAGAATTGGAATTAAAGAATCATTCAAATATCTTTTCTAAAATGAATGCTGGGGTGATATCTGTTACGAAACAGCCAAATTTTTTTCACAATAAGAATAATAATCATCTCATTATTGATTTTCCTGGGTTTTTGGATACAAATGGGGATTGGGATCAATTATTAATTGAACTTTTATTTAACAAGATTGTTTCTTTAGGTGCATTAAAAGTTATTTATGTTATAAATAATCCTCAAAATACTCTTCAAAACAGAGGGGCTGACCTTTAAGAATTTCTTAAATAATTGGATAATCCAAAAATCAATCTAATCTTAAATTGTTATATGGCTAAATGGCCAGATGATAAATTAAGAAATAAAATAAAAGAAGATTTAGAAAGTGTTAAATCACTAGAAAAAGATAAACCTAACTTAATATCATTAATTGATAAGATTCTTATAAAAAGAAGAGCTGCTCATTAGGAAGACTTAGATATATTTTTTAGTGATGAATAACGAAATATCTTTTGGAATGAAATTGAAGAATTGACTAAAACTCAAATCAAGCCTAGAATAATACCTAAAAGTGAAATCATTAGTAAATATATCATCTCTAAAGCAACTACAATAATTCAAGAATATGGAAAATAGCTTATATCTATTTTCAATTCAGATGAGAATCAAAACGATGGAAAATACGATTCAGAGCTACATCTATAATTGGTATAATTTTAGAGCCTATTGAATAATTCAAATAATTATTCGCCTTCTTAATGGTTTTTAAATTTTATACAAATATGTGAAGTATTGACATAGTATAAATTTAAATCAGCCAGCAACGATTTTTTAAAAATATTCTAATATTTTGAATAATTCGAGTAATTCATAGATGGATATTAGCAATTGGAAAACATAAACCAACTAGCATAATAAAATCTAGAATAAGTCCAAAAATTATTTAATATCAGAATATAGTATTAAGAAAAAATTTAAAAAGCAGAAGAGGAAAAAAGAAGAGCAGAAGAGGAAAAAAGAAGAGCAGAAGAAGAAAAAAGAATAGCAGAAGAGGAAAAAAGATAAGCTGAAGAGGAAAAAAGATAAGCTGAAGAAGATAAAAGAAGAGCAGAAGAAGAAAAAAGATAAGCTGAAGAAGAAAAGAGATAAGCTGAAGAAGAAAAAAGATAAGCTGAAGTAGAGAATCTTAAAATACAACATTAAGTAGAAATAGAAAAAATGAAATAAGAAACTGTTAGGCTATAAATGTAAAATTTAGAAAAAGAAAAATAACAAATGATGTTGTAGCATGATTTAGAATAAAGAAACCTAAGATTATAAATAGAAAATGCTAATAATTCTCAATGGAGGAACTCCCTTATATGTGGATCTTAATCAGCTACTAGCAGATTGAAATAACAATAAAAAAAAGATAAAAATGGCAAAAAGACAACTAGCAAAAAAACAACTAGCAAAAAAACAACTAGCAAAACAAATTAATAGAAATAACATGCCACAAAAAGTAAAATAAATTGAAGAAGATTATATAATTTATTCAGATAATTTTACAAGTTTTATAATTTAAAGTTGTTTGTTCTTTATGAATTTATAGATTTAATTTATTAAATTAAAGAACAAGTTTGCATGTTTTACATAATTAGTTGATTTTTATTCTTTAACCAGTAAATATAAATCAAAGAAATTTAGGTATTTTTATAAAACGTAATTAAATAACAATATAGTGTATTTATTAGAAATAATTAAATACTCTAGTTGGTAGTTTTTATATTCTTTTCCCATAGAGTTCTTTTTTCCCTTCTGATTTAAATTTTATAGAAATGAAAAGTTTTTCTTCATTTATTATTAAAAATTTGATATTTATAAATTTTAAACTCTGATACATCAGTTCATATTATCTTAAAAAAAACAACATAAAATTCACATCATAAAAACGATACTATTCAAATTGATTGTCTAATATGAAACATTTCTTCTATATTTTTTTACCCCAGAACATCAATGTTAATTATTAATACCTTAAAGATCTGATTACATCATTTAAAAATTTACAAATGAAAATAACATTTCATAAAATTAGAAAGATTAAGATAATGTTAATTTATATAATAAAAATCATATTTCGCATTATAAAATCTATCCAGGTAACTAAGTAAAATTATATTAAAAGATTTTCTCTTTTAATTTCAAGCTTATCAAGTAATTTATTTAGTTAATAAAAATTGAATAAGAATAAACTAATTCCTAATTTAATGTATTTGAATCCTCAATATTCTAATTGCAATTATAAATGTAATAATGTACTTAGTCTTTATTACTATATTAGCTTAATAAATATAAATTTTTGATTGAATTCTTTTTTTTAATCAATATATAATAATATAATTAATAACAGTTTCAAATGGCAGAGGAAAATTTGGACTAAATAATTGATATGCCAGAATAATCTGACATGATCAATGATGCTAGAACTTAAGTATTTAATAAATAAACTTCAAGGCCAGATATGCAGTAGAACATTTTAAAGTTGAATCTTAAATCTCTAATTATATCAAGAAGTTTTTTGATGAGAAATATGGTCCTAATTGGCATTGTGTTGTTGGTATCTTCATTAAATAAAATTTAAGGAAAGCATTTCAATTCATACTCTTCATATGAAAGCAAACGTTATATGTTTTTTTATGAAGGATAGATGGCAATTTTACTTTATAAGATGGGTTGATAGATATAATATTATTATTAAACATGAGATCCTCTTCTTATCATCATCTTCTTTTCTTAAGATATAATTATATAATATAATAAAACTAAGACATTTAATTTTTAAGAAATCCCTTCGAATATATGGATCCATAAAGAGATGCATCTTAGATTTTGATAGGTCTCGAAATCCCATGTGGTTTATATACGTTAAATAGTTTATGAAATTAAATTATCATTACACATTATTAAGAATACCTTAGAATTAATTTGATTTCAATGTTCGAATGGAAATCAAATATAAAACAGTTTAATATTACTAGATATCCTTTTTGAATAGAATTTAGGATTTAAACATTCTGAAATCAATGCTAAATAAAAACATATTTCTTATTCAATTTCTCAATGTCTTGTTCCAATTATATCAACTCTTTCTCATAATTTTCTTTTCTTCTTTTGACTCCAATAGTTCCAAATACTCGACAATGTGTTTATTGTTAGTATTAATAATTCAATTCATCATACTTCTTCTTTAAACCTTGTCTTATTTATTCTAATTCATCCTCAGCCATTTATTATCTATTAGAAAGGAATGATATACAATTTATTATCCTATTCTTGTTATTCTAATTATTTTCTATATTGTTCCTCATAAAATTGTTCTTTAAGGGTATCTTTGATTTAGGTTAGATAAGGAGGAACTTTTCCATAAGCAGATTTCTTTGTCCAATCTGGTTCTGATTGTTTTCTTTTAGGATCTAAGTAGTAATAAAATATTATAAAATATAACTAGCTAAGATGACATCTATTGCATTAGTGGCAATAAAATTTTTATGTTATTTTAATCCCATGATTGGTTTATCATCTAATTTTGGTATTTAAGGTTTAGTAGCAGAATGTTAATGTCCAAGATCAACACTTCTATGAATTGACCCCTTTTCAGCCCAAATATCTAGACTATTATTTCCCATATGTCTATGTTTGATTGGGGCCAATTTTTCTAGAATTTAGATTGATTAGTACAATTTTTGGATTTACCCAAGATGCCACTCTCTGATCTGAATCTATTTTGTTGTATAATATATGATCCATTTAGATTCGTGACTGGAATGATTAAGGATTGAGTTCCAAATGTACTACCAGTAGGAGCTATGGTTCCTGGGATTGTTGACTTATATAATTTAGTAACCTTCTTTGGAGGAGTTTTCTCTTTGGGAATTAAGTTATAAATGCTTTCTTGCATATGATTATAATAAAATTTATTGAAAATGATTGCTTTTAGAAAATAAATAAATTTATTTAATAATATTTAACAGTTCCATGGCATCAAAAGTTAAAATAGAATGCATCAAATAAGGATATTAAATAAGTAATGAAATGAAAATAGATATTATGGACTTTTATAATCGATCATTACATCAAGAACACTATGCACATAAAACCGATTACATTAGACATAATCTGGAAGAAAAATATGGTAATTAATAATTCTATAATCTAGGTCGATGTTTTTCGATAATCATATATTCAATAGGTTCATTTGTGTCTCATTCATTTTTATATGCTGACGATTTTTTATTAGAATTGAGATCTCCTGAACATCATATTCTTGCCTATTTGTTACCTCCCTCTTATACTCCTCCTCCATTGATCCCTGATCCTTAGGTTGTACCATTAAGTAGAACATTGAGTCACCCCTTACATGCTTCTAAACCTGTTTAATTGTAATTATCTCCTTTACTGTAGCTAACAATCAGCTCAATCCAAGATCTTAGATTATCCAACATAATATTCATCTTATTATGCTAATAAATATTACGATGGCTATTATAGAAGAGGATATTGGTGAAAATCAATGAATTCTTATTTTATTTTATTAATAAAATTTAACAATTCATGCATTCTTATAGAAATCCTAAGATTCTCTAATTAGACAGACCTAGTAGAGGAAGTGCAAATACAAAATCAGAGATGTAGAATACGCATTATATAAATAAACCAGAAACATAATGGTTCTCGCAATAACCTAATAACTCTACAAAGATATATGAATCTATTGTGTAATACACAAGCCACTCTTCTTAACATGATCCTAACCAAAATGATAATGAAAGTACTGAAAAATAGATAAATACTTTGAAATTGTCAACATTAACATCAAAATTTTCGATATAAAATCCTAAATAATAAAGTCCATTTAATTCTTCCAAGTTAGATACACCATCAAGAGTTGATTCACTATTGTTAGAAATTTCTGAGATTAAGCAACAAAATGAAAAAGCTAAATAGTTTTATTAATCCTAAATTATCAATCTCTAAAATACTTAGGACTAATTAACAATTGAAAATATCAGCTTATCAAATTCTTTAAAAGGATTAACTTAATAACTTTAAGATGCTAGATACAATATGCATAAAATATATCAATAAACAGATTTGGATGAATTTACTAATTCCATTTAGATTGATTCCAATCATCATCCAAACATCCAATAGGCTTTCTACTAATTTTAATCAGAAATCTTCCAATTCATTTATTTGTATTAAAGTTAAATAAATTAAAAAATACAATTGAAACAATAGCAACTCAACAAAATCATTATTAAGTTGAATTCAATAAAAAATCATAATCAAACAAATTACAATTCTATTAGTAAATCCACAGTTGGTCAATCTAAACCTAGTTACAAAAAATAAGCAGACTTTATTATGAATTAAAATTAGGGACTGGAGAAACAATTTAATGAATTAAAAAAACATCATTAATATATTATTAATAATTTTGAATAAGAAAAGTTAATTGCATATTAATAAGAATAATCACTTAAGAGGGAATTCCAAGCAAGAATTCAATAGTTGGAATAATAAATCAGCATCTTATTAGGTGAAAATCAGAAAAAGGAATTAATTATATCTGATTTAAATGACTTTAATCAATTGAAAGTGCTTCAAGTAATTTAATCATGATATTTAGATCTAATAACAAGAAGAAATATAGTAACTAAAAGCTAAATTATCAGAAAGTAACAATAGCTAAATTAATCTAAATGACTAGATAGTATTATTGAAGAAGAATAATAATAGTCTTTTAAATGATTTCGAGAAAAATCAAATGGATTTATCAACATTATAAAAAGAGAAATAATACTTTCAAATGTAATTTGAGAAATACCAAATTGAGAACGTGGATTTGATTAAGCATTAATAACTACTAAATGAAAATCAATAACTGTAAATTGATAAATTGAAATAAGAATGGTAATATTAAACTAATAGATTATAAGAATAAATAAGAACTAAAGATTAAAAGTTAACGTAATTTTAAGAAAACTATAATACATTATAAAGGTATAAATAAGAATTAGAAAATCTACTTAAACAATCTAGAAATGAAGCAAATAAATTCAAAGATTAAATGGATTAAATATAATAATTATAAACTAAAATTAATAAACAGAATTATACAATTTAAAATTTAATAGAATAGAATTAATCATAAGAAAACATGATTAATAATTATTAATCTGAATAAAATTTGTTTGAGTAGAAAATTGTTGAATTACAAAGAAAGAATTAGTAAATTTAATTGCAATAATAGCCTTAAGAAAGAGAGAGTTTGAATTAAAAAATCTATAAACTCTAGAAGAATTATGAAGATAAATAATCGGAAATTAAAATTCTATAAGCAGATAATTTTGAATTATAGAAATAAATTAAATAAGAATAAGTAAATTAATTATAAACTAAAACTTTGATTACAAACCTATAAAATGATAGATTATAATATCAATAATAAAAAGCATAGATTGAGTAATAATTAGATAAGCAATAAAAGCATAATTAAGAGTTACTCAAATAAATGGAGGAGGTAATTTAGAATAATTTAAATTAATAAGAATAACAAACTAATGAATGGCAAAACCAGTAAAAGATGCTAACTAAAAAATAGGTGTAATCTGAAAAGCATTTAGAGAGTGCATTTAGCGAAAATGAGAAGCTAAGAGTAAGGATATCAGAACTGGAATACAAATTAGAAGAAGAAATAGATAGAAATCAAAAGTTGGTCGAAGAAATAAAAAAATATTTAATTGATTCAAAGCAAAAGGAGATCTAGATATCTGAAAGCAAATCCCAAATATAAAGACTAACTCTATAACTTAATAATATAGAAAGAGATAAGTAGGAGTAAAAAGCAACCCTATTAAATGATTCATAATAAAGTGCTTAAATTTAAGAAATAGAATAACTCTAATTCAAAATAAAATAATATCAAAATGAATCAAAGGAAAATGAAAATTAATAGAAATAGCTCAATTAAAAATTACAGGAGGCATTAAAAAAATTGGAACAAATTTAGTTGTAATTACAAGAAGAATAGCTTAAATCACTTAATCTTATGAAATAATTACAGAGCATATCTGAAAACAAGAGTTCTATTCAACAAAATTAAGATATTATGGATTTATTTGATGTTTAAACATCTTCAAGAGGTCAACATATAGAAACTATATTATTGCCTGAATCAAATTAATCTGAAGAGCAGCTCTAAATATTATTATAACAATTAAAAGAACAGAATGAGAGTGCATTGCAATAAAAATCATAAATATAGAGTAGTCGGGATTAAGCTATTGAGCAGATTAAATAATTTGGAAATTAAATCTTTAATTTGAAAAAAAAAAAATAAAAGTTTA